AAGAAGTCTGGTGGAGTGTGGGAAATAAGTGTGGCGGAGCGTGCGAGGAGAAGTGGTTGCGGAGCGCATGGGAAAATTTTTACGTAGAACAAGAATTATTGCTGAGGGCAAGAAAGAATCATTTTGGGGAGAGAAAGGGGGAGCACAGAAGAATTTTTATGGAGCACGCAAGAAGGAATTATTGCAGAGAGAGTTAATACAAGGAGAGAGCAGGGGAGCACAAAAAGGAATTATTAATGACAAGTGTGAAAAGCAATTATTATGGAGAGAGAAGGAAATAGGGTTACGGTCAGGGGAAAGAGAGAAAAAGAATTAGGGAGAGGAATAATTAGAGAGTGAAAAGAATAGCACTTGGGTGGGCCACCTCTTTCCAAGCCCTCACCTTCTGGATGCAGCAACTCTAATATTCCTGCCAGGCAGGTGTGTGGGCACAGATGATGAGTAGAAAGAATGACCAGATCGCAGAGTCCCCGGTACTTCTCTAATAGACATCTCCATCCAGTGAGCTACCCTGCCAAACCAACCAAAACAAGGGGTCAGGTTTTTGGACCACTCCTCCGATGCTTTTTCAGGGTGACAGATGTAGCTGTTGATACCTCCACAGAGTACGATACCCTATCTTACCTGCCTTGTACCCTCTATAGTGCCTTCTGCTTTTGTGGCATTGCTGCTGATTAAAAGGGGATAATGAAAAGTAGCAGGGTTCTTTTAAGCTCTTCACTAGCATTTTGTTTTATGTTGAAACAAAAACTCGCGTGTCCGCCATACGCCAACCTACCAACATTCTTCACCAAGAAAGGCCATCGAGTCCTCTTCGCTTGGTGGGTCTAAATCAAAAGGGTGGAGACAGTTACATCAAAAAGAGCCTTCTCTGTCTGATCCCACTATGAACTTACAGAGAACACCAGAAGAGGCAGCAGGGCCATCGCCAAGAGCCTTTGTTTCAGCAGAGCCGGTCAACCTTATCCGTTTCAGTCCTGAGCTTCTCCGCTTCGTTGGGGCTCACCAACCCTCTCAGCTCTGGCTGTAGGAGCAGGAGCTGCCCGTCTCACAGATGTGGAGCACCAAGGCCACTTTCTCCCACTGTCAGCTCATCCCCGCCTCCGCAGCAGTGAGTGCACCCGCTGGGCCGYACACGTGCCARCTGCCGCCCCGTGAGGCCCCAGTGCAGTGCCGCGTGAGATGGAACCACAGCCGCCATGCAGACGCCGCCAAGAGGGGACCGAGCGGAGGACAGAGGTGGAAAGAGAGGGAGAGAGCAGGTGAGACCAACAGCGTCCTCAAGTTGTGGCGGGGAGATTCAAAGTTAGAAAAAAAAATCTAAGCAAAAAGAGTAGTTAAACCTGGAAATAGGCTGCCTAGCAAAGTGGTAGAGTCACCGTCCCTGCCAGGGTTCTAGAAATGTGTAGATGAGACAGGGAGATGGTTTAACAAGTGTGGTGTTGAAAGACTTACAGTTGGATTTGATGGTCTTGAAAGTCTCTGAAGATCTCTTGAAGATTACTGAAATGTCAGAGAGTAGCAGTTCACGGTGGTGTGTTGACACCGGCAAGGTGCTGGAGGATACCGGGGAACCTGGGCTTACAGCCACACTTCTGCTTCTCTGATCTTCAGGTGAAGCAGCGAGCACCGGGGAGCGCTAAGTGCATGTGCTTCTCCTTACCTTTTCAGGAGAGCTACTTCAACAGTGGAGAGCAGCAGCAAGCAAAGCAACCTGTGCGTATGCACCCCGCCTCCCCCACTCCCTCCCCCCACAGCTGTTGCGGTACTGATTTTTAGGCACAGGAGGGTAGCAGGGAGTKCCACACAATGYAGAGCACGTGCRTGCTGCCCTTACGCCTGCAGTTCTATGGTTTGGACAAGTTCAAGAGGCTTTGTTTGCTTTTCAGAGTGGATGATTTTTTTTCTTAACATTAGTGTGTGAGCCTTGTTTTATTACTGTTTTAATAATAAGAATACCAAAGGCTCCAGCCCTGCTCTTGAATACATATAGGTATCCAGGTTT